GCGGCGGGGCCCCCTGCCTGGCCACCAGCAGCCCTACGCGGCCAGGGTTGCTCAGGGTGCCGGTCCATAAAAAGGGACCGATCGCCCTGGAACCAGCTCACATCTGGGCCACAGCTGGCCCCGGGTACCAAAAGTGCCCTCTGGAGCCTCCTACACCCTCTGGGCTCCCCCCTGGACGGGCCGTTACTTTGCACGGGCCCATTTCAGGTGCGTTTGCCTCCCCGTGCAGAGCAACAGCCGTTTGTCCCGCGGGGTCTTTCCAAAACCGGCAGCCCCAGCACCTCCCACCGGAGCCCGGGGCACAGAGGTGCCTCTGTTAACAGCTCTCCCACCAAATGTTTCCGCAGCTGCTTCGCGGGACGCTGTATATCCAACCCCTGCCAAATGTGCCGGGCCGCTGGGAGTAAAGCACGTTGCTGGTGTAAATCCATTTCCCACTGGCGAGGGGGTCACAAATGGCTTCAAAAAGGAGTATTTAGACCCAAAAATGCTCAGGGTGCACAGTCAGGTTTATGGTGGAGCGACAAGGGGGCAAAGGCTCAGACGGCGGCTTCAGGATCTGGCCCAACCTCGCCCCTGGGTGACGCTCGCTGATGGCAGTTTGCTGCCGGCAGGGATTTAGCTGGAATTCCCCAACTGCAGCCTCAGAGCCACAAACCAAACCGTCCAGAGACACCACCCAGTAGTGTCTGCTATAGCACCCTATAGCCCCAGTGCCACGGGCCACCCGGGGCAGCCGGCTGCCTGCTAGAGGGATGAGCATCCTACAGCACACCCGAGGTGGGGGTGATTCAGGTCTTTCCACGTTTTCCTTTATGGGAAGCCCCTGTGCACAGGTGGGTCCTGCCAAGAGACACCCCAATAAGGAGACAGGGTGATGGGTACCAGCTCTCTTCAGGTTGGTTTGGATTTGGGATCCCCCATCCCATTTCCCTGCCTCCACCTTTCTCCTCTCACTTCATGATTTGACGGGACATCGGGGAACACCTCTACGTGCTGTCTGCATTACGCCCAGCACACCCCAGTCCCAAAGTGCTGCCCCAGGGCAAATAATAACAAATAATAACAGCGTCATACCCCAGCACACCCCACAGTGCTGATGGGGCTGCAGCCGGTGTGCAGTGCCTGGGCTGGCTTGGGGCGCCTCGCTCGCCTCTCATTTCTGGGTGAGGCTCCCACAGCCTCTTTGCCATGATAAAACTTATTTCTGGGCTTGGCTGGCCGATCCCTGCTTGCACGGGAAAGCCCACAGACGGGCCACCCCAGGAGGGGGGCTCACCCTGTATCACCCCCCAGCTGCACCCTCCATCCCCGCACACCCAGGCCGTGGCTCTTGGGGCTCGAGCGGCAATTCCTGCAAAGGGAGTGGTTTGCCGTGTAATTCCTCTGCCAGGCCTCGAAGCCCGCGGGCTGTACATCTCCTCTGGGGTTTTACAAGCCATCCGGCGGCCGGGACCGGCGGGAGCTGGGCAGGGAGGCGTGGGATGCGTCAGAGCTGCTGTCGGCCGGCCGAGCCCACGTGGAGGCAAACCTCTCCTTCGAAAAGTCAGCGCAAAACTATTCGTGACTCTCACTTCTTCATAAACACAGGCAGCACCAGGCAGCCCCCGGTGACAACCGCCGTCCCCACCCCGCGCAGGGCACAGCTCTGCTGCAGGGGCTGGTTGGGGCCCCCCGTGCCCTCTGCTGCGGGTGAGCTGGGGAAGCCAGCTGGTATTTGGCAGAGTTTAAAAGTGGAAGGCAGATGGGACAGGGCTGACCCAAGCTGAAAAGTGCATCCCGCTCTCAGCTAGGAATCTCACTGCTGCGGGGCCGGCGCTGGCCCTGCTATCGTCACACCCATGTCTGGATGATGCCATCCCCTGCCCAGCCCAGAGAAACCCCCTTGGCAAGGGGAGCCCCCAAAGCCAAGCTGGGCATCACAACCCTTCCGCAGTCAGCAGGACCTGCCTGGGGGGGCTGTAGGCAGGGAACCCCCCTGTCCACACATCTCCCAAACACCCTCCAAACACCTCGTGTTGGGTGGTGGATGGACACCAGTGGACAAGAGCTGCAGAAAGCCTGCCCGCAATCTGGGGTCCCCTCCACCAGGATCTGGCCCTGTAGGGGTGCCCCAGCCCAGGCCAAGGGGCTGCAGAGGTGGTTTTTAGCTGAGTCCTGGTGCGCACCTCTCAACCTTACCAAGCCTCCGTTTTCCCAGCCACCACCAGGCCATCATTCCCCTTCACCAACAGTCTCACTTTGGCAGCCTGTAGCCCTGTCCTGGAGGGACCACCGCCCCCACGAGCCTCCCTGGTAATGTATCAGCATCTCTGCTGAGGCCCCAGTCAGCACTAATGGCTTTGAGCTGCGGGTACCCACCCACGCAGGGCCGGCAGAGCATCGCCCCATGCCCTGCAGAGCCAGGATGCTCGGCCGCGAGTCACCAGGGTCTGGCACTGAAGTGGCATTGCCTGGTACAGAGGGACCTCGTCCCTGGGAAGCAGGGATGCACTGGCTGGTCCACAGAGCCCAGGCGCCTTCGTCACTGCGGGCAGGGGACAAGTGGGGCCGTGCCTGGCAGCTTGCGTCAAAGACCTGTCTCTGCTTTCCCAGGCAGACTCCAGCGATGTTTAACCAGCCCACAGATGTACGGAAACTCTGTTTGCTATTTAGGGCTGCGGACCCTACTGAGCTGATGGGAGAGGGAGGGTGTTCACACACATTCACAGAGCATTTGCCTGTTAAAGTGACAGCTTCCCTCCCTGCCACCACCCCGTCTCCGGGACACTCCTGGCGGCTCCGGCACCCAGCCCCATGCCTTCCCCAGAAGCCATGAGCCCTCTGAAAGTAATACAAAGCGATGTGCTTCTTGAGTCGTTTATAACTCAATTAACCAGCCAGAGAGAAGCCATCACTGCCCTTCTGCCCCCCTTCCGCGTAAGCTGGGTGAGGTGGCTTAGTGCGATGGAGAAAGCTCCCCCCGCCCTGCTCCGTGTGATTAACACATTGAAGGCTTTCACTGAAGTTTTAAGACTGGGTTTTAGGATTTAAGGAACTTGCAGGGTGGCAATACCCTGGTTTGCAGCACTAAATCCGTCTGGTTGTGGCCATTCCCTGTTGCCAGCCGGGGTGGAGGAGGAGGGAATCAGCCCCACAGAGGAGGCACAACACAGAGGTCCC